AGGGTAGGCAGGGTAGGCAGGGTAGGCAGGGTAGGCAGGGTAGGGGGAGGTCATGGTTCTGATCTGGGATAAGAGGTTACAATCACTGTTATTTTAGACAGTTAATAAAATGAAACTATGGCAAAGGCAAATGGCTTCTCATGGTTACATTTGCGCATGTCCTAAAATGGTTAAAGGTTCAAGTTGAAAGAGGCTAGATCATTCAGTGCCAAAACTACTATGACCCATGGTCAGCTCCTTTAATTTTTGAATTTTAAGTTGACAGCACTGCCAACTGCAGAGATGCCAACCTAAAACAATCAAAACCCGGGAGACTGCCGATTTTACCTTTGTGACCCTAAAAAAATGTTGTTCAAAAATTCAACCACAAAAATACTTCAAATATTCAAAACCGGTCTGCCAAAAATCAGCAAAAATATGTCTGAAAAATTTCTGTTATGCACTTTCCTTCTTATTGTCGAGGAGATTCGGTGAACCATCCAGGAGACTGGGATATTCATTCTGTATGCGGGAGACTCTCAGATAATTTGGCAGAGTTTGCATTGATGCACTGCACTATTCTATCCACAATCAACACTCTCAAAGTGGGCACCACTGTAATGAGGACATAGTTACAGAGCTGTCAGTAAGACCTGGGTCCTGTCAGAGCACTGGCGGTATTCTCTTGTGAATCGCCAGCTATAAATTGCTAGCAGTTAGTTCTCAGAATTTGGCCATCTAGAGGAAGTTGTTAGTTAATGGGCCTTCTTGATTTGCTCTCTAACTATTGCAACACTGGGACAGACACCTAAGCACTGCAATTGGTTGATTGGTGCCGGTGGAATTTCACCTGCTGGTGAACAGCTAGACTTGGTTCCATCAGTTAACTGTGTTGGTCTAAGTAAGCTTAGATCTTGCATCTTATGTTGAAGGTCCATCAGTTTAAAATGACCATATTTGAATTTAACTGCCTTCAATTGCTTGTAGTTTTTTAAACATCACTGGTGATTAATATGGCTCTTTTTATCTTTTCAGGGGATTATCAACATGGCAACGAGTGAAAACACATTAGCATTTGATTTGCTGAAAGAGAAGGTTCAGTATTTGTGAAAAACAATATTATTAGCAGAATCTTGTTAATCTGGCCACAGTCATGCCAAAACAATCAGGCCGTGAATGGCCAGACCGTATATTGAGAGGTTCTTTAAATAAGAAAATGACTAACTTAACATTTGTTTGGTCCAGAATAAAATAAAAAATGGCTGTACATAATATCATGATGTGATGGCATGTATTGTGCATAATATTAACAGGTTGGCAATAAATCATCTTTATTTGTTGAATTTTTGTATAATCAAGGGTTAATTTATTTTATATCCATGCCATAAAATTTGGCTTAGCCCTGATTTCTATAAACAGATTCTTAGGTACTGCTCTCTGTACATAGTTAAATAGTTAATAGTTCTGGATCTGGGAATTTCTTTTCCCTCAAGACAATTGCCCAAATGGTGATCATTTAAAAATTCTTTCTAGTCACCTGTGTGATGGAGCATATATTGAGGGCATCGAGAAATTTTAATTTGAAAAAGCCAAAAAATGATTAAAAATTACATTCCACTGTTATGATAATCCTCACATCTACATTGTACTTACTGGTGTAATACTCTAAAATGAGACCGTCTTTTACAGTTTGAAGAAAAAGAGTCACATGCCATACTTCAAGAACACACGCAATATGCTCCTTGTGAGGGATTAGACAGGTAAATATTGAATTAAGAACAACACAAATTGGACATTGCAGATAACTGGTCATAATAAAGTAATAAAGTAGTTTATTAAAACTCTCTTGCAGTAAAACAACTGAATTAACGAGTACATTTTACAATCTTANTTTTGACCATAGCTGTTTGTCACGATTGTTTTGCCTTTTATAAAGCTTTAATTGAAAACTAAAAGGTCAAATAAAGAACGAGCTAGGGTCAGAAAATCTACAGATTTACTCATGTAATGATAATTTCTATTTTTGTTTTCACTTTAATTTTTACTTGCTACCGGAGTGTAGAATTATTTCCTTTTTTACTAATCCTTCAAAGTCTTGCATGCTAAATGTCATTGTATGACATTACATTTCCTTTCATTTCTTTTTATATAGCATTCCAAACAAGGACATGATCCATGTAATCTGGGGCTTCAGTAAGGTACGTCAATGCACGGTTCACAATAATTTGTAATTTTTCTGTAATTTAGGTCTCGTCCACACTACTCGAAGAATTTTGAAAACGCAGCTTAATTTCTACGTTTAGACCTACCGTCCACACTAATCCGGCGTAGTGTTGGACGGAAAACATTTGGTGCGTTTTGGCGCAGGGTTACGTGAAGGGACATTCGACTTTGCGCCTGCACTCGCCTCGCGTAGCGGCTTTTTGTAAAGAACGTTTCGAACCTCTGCAGAAGAGAGGGGAGGCCGAGGTTTGCCTGCAGAACAAGAAAGTACCTGATGTTCTGGTATTTTTACCGTCGAGCGCTTTACTGTGTCCTTCACGATTCCTAGGCAATCGCTTATATATTCATCATCTGCTCTCTACATCACAAAACTTCCCCTTACTACACCTGTAAAGTGATAGTATCTCCTTTCGCATGCCCATCCTTCTTGCATGTTGTTCTTTGTCGTAGGATTTTGGTGTTTCTGGCTTTCGATGCGGTGTTCTTTACACGTGGAACAAAGATGTGTTCAATGTCATCTCATCAGGGTATTCACGATTCCATGACGTGCCGACACCAGCTCAGGTAGGTGAACATTCCTTTTGGGGTGACCTGTTCAGGATCAATGATCCGTGACTGCTGGGATCATGGTGCATCAAAGGGACCGACTAACCAACCCTGGAAAAATACCGAAAATGTAAATGAAACAACCAGGAGAAAGGATTATCAAAAAGAAAATTCTAGAGATCTTCGTCTGGGGTAAATCCTTTGTTAAGTTCACACGAGCCCCGCCAAGCCCTTGCTCTGAACTACCTGATAGCCTTAGTAGTAATTGTCTCTCTAATTCTCGAATACAATTTTTCCCTTTAGATTCTCTTGGGAAATCTCATCAAAGATAAAGGTTAGTACGCTGCGAGACGACAACCTCATGTCTTCCGTAACGTCGAGCAAGACTCTAGAAATGGCCCCCTGCTTTGCGTCAGTTTTTTCCCGTTTTCGCATTATTTTTTGCTTCTTGTTCGGGAGTTAGTGAGCGAGTACCCAGGGGAAGGTTCTACAGTCTAAAGGTCAGTGCTATTCCTTTCTATAGAACAACATGATTTTGTAAACCGTTGAGTGAAAGGAAACCAACCACTCGGTTAAAAGTATCACTCGCTGACCCAGAAAACAGAGACAACTGATTTTACCATCTTTGCCATCACATGTGGTGGAGTGAATGTCTCTGAATCTGGCCTGAAACCTGTCTTCTCCATTTCGGGGCATTGGCCACCAACAAAACTCCTCCAATCTTCTCTGACCCTCGCCAGGCGTTCCATCTGCATCCAGCAGTGTCAGCAGTAGCCCTTCGACTTGATAGTGCGTTCTGTATCCTTCCTCCAGCTGTTACCCAGTCTCCCTCTCGCTGTTACCCAGTCTCCCTCTCGCTGTTACCCAGTCTCCCTCTCCGTCTGTTACCCTGCGGACTCCACCAAAGGCTTGCCTGGCAATGCAGTCAGTTGCAATTATTTAACTTAAGATGCTCTCAAACGTCCTTTCGGCTTGGTACAAGACTGAAGAGATTAACGTGTGTTTTTCTTTTTCTTGCAGAGTGGCTAGACAATACTTTTATTCCAGCCAATCAAAAGCGGCTTCGAAACGCTCACAAGATGGCCTGTGATGCTCTTCAAGAAGTCGGTATTTCAGTCCTTCCCGGGGAATGTGGCCTTTTCATCTGGGTTGACTTCAGAGAGGTAGACGGTGACTTATTTTACTTGTATCCACTGCATGTACTCGTGTAATGTCATGTAATTAAACCGAATGACCGAGCGTAGCGTGACAGGTCCGGATAGACGCAGAGGCAGAGACTGTGCCCACCTGCAAACCATCGTAATAGAGCAGCTTCTAATAAATGTTGAAAAACAAGAAAAAGTTGATGAGCTTGGCTAGCGAATCTCGACAAATTTAAGAAAAAACCTGACGAGAAGTCGCAGCCAAAACGCGCAACCAACCTCAAGCGCCGGAAAATATGTCGTGTAACCGGTGTCAGATAAGCGCGGGAAAACAGAACTGTTTTTCGTAATGCTGATTGGTTAATAAAACAGCATGTTTCCTGTGATTGATTACGAGTGTCACAATGATCAGTTACTATTATATTGCCTTTGCTTTCTTTTAGCTCGTCCCAACGTGCACGTTTGACGAAGAAATGCAGCTGTTTGAAAGCATGATGGCTAATGGCGTGTTCATATTTCCTGGGTCGTACTTTTGCTGTCCAGAGCCTGGCTGGTTTAGAATTATATTTGCCATGGAAACAGACGTTCTTCAGATAGGTAAGCTAAGTCATTAGTAGAGTTGTTTTCCCTTGAGTTTTGTAAACAAAACCGAAGTGATTGTTTTGGCCAATCGTAAAAAAACATAAGCGACACAATGGACCAATGAGAACTCGAATATACGTTAACGGCGCAGAGCGCGGGAAAATGCGGGCGGGCAACTCACGATTGGTTTTGTACTGTTATTTGATTGGTTCAGTAAGTTTTTAAAAAACCAATTAGAGGGCGCAGTACGGTTGAGTGAAATAAACAGCTAAACAAGTATACGGATCACTGTAAATTGGACAGGAAAACAGTAAAAAGTAACTTAAAACACCTGGAATGTATTAGTAAATGTTACCGTATTAGAATTCGCTCGCCTCCCACCAATGTGTCTCGGGCTCGATTCCAGCCCGGTGCCATGTGGCTTGAGTTTGTGATTGGTTCTCGCCTTGCTCCGAGGGTATTCGACCAGGATAGAGAACCGGCATGAAAACCAGCTGCTAAATTAAAGCTGACGTGGCTTCCTCTCTGAATATAAGTATACTGCAATTTTTATGCCACGAAGCTTACGCCATGACTCGTTTTGTGGTATGTCGTCACGACTTGCGATTGAAACTCGTACACAATCTTCACGGAATTGAACTCTACATTTTTTTTTTTTTTTTTTTTTTCAGGGCTAGAAAGAATTCAGGAAACTGTCAAACAAGTCCGTGCCGATATTGCAGCCAAGCCGAAGGGAAGAGGGACTACAACGGATCGTACAGGCGAGAAGCTTGCCCAGATTGAAGTCGGTGCTGGCAATGCACAAAAAGCTGGAGACGAAAATCTTGAAGACTTAGTTCGCACTCTACACCGGCAGATTCAGGACAGTGACTGGCTAAAGGAAAATACTGCTGAAAAATGGATGGCAGATAATCCTGAACTAGCTAAGGAATTTTTTAAGCAAGACACCGAGAAATAATAATGATTGTAATTATATTTTCATACAAGAGTATAACAAAACCGGTTTTCTATTCAATTGTGTAGCCAACTTGAATTCTCAAGGAAGGAGCGAGTGTTCTTTCTTCCAATTGTAGATCATGTAGGAGATTTTCAGCCTTCCCTAAATGTTCTATCAGTTGTTGATTCAAGTATTGATGAATGAAACCGAAAGGTCAGAATCAAAGTTCTCTTTACTTTTATCACATATTTTATATAACTTTACCTAAGAGAGTTTGAGTCTTGGGTCAAATTGTTTTCTCGAGATGATCAATTCTGTCACTCTTATCTTTGTTTCAAAACGGTCAAAGAGAAGTTTAGTTATTGGGCGTGAATTAAAGGATTTCATTAAGTTGTCAAGAAAGAAGGACTTGCATATCGTAAAGTAAAAAAAAATCCAAAGGTCAGTCTTGAAAAATAGGGAATAAATCAAAATCTCGATAGAAGCGACCCTCGCCACAGGAAGCTCTCACGTCGGTTTACAAAATGATAAAAAATAAACTACCCAATTGTGACGGCCATTTTGAATTTTATCGCGGAACCAAGAATTCTTCGAACAGCTGACCGTGTATTTAAAATTCAAAATGGTCGCCACGAGCTTGATCGATAAAGTTTTTCTGATCGGATGTAAGGGTACAGGACGCTCAAGCAAGACTTTGCTAGATCCATCATTAAAACAGCGGCCCTTGGTTAACATTTGGGGATTACAATGCACTGTCACTCTCTGATGTCAGATTTTGATTTGCAACCCGCTCGGACACTTGGCGTGAAACAGCTGTATTGACCTCGTAGTAGCCAATGAGTGTGCGTACTGTTGGATCGAGAAAAATTTACGGCCGAGTATAAACGAAAGCCTCCACTTGGCGCGAAAATATATAGAGGATATTACACGGTGGCGAGAAGATATGAATTTTATGTTCGTGTTCTTGCCACGAGAACATAAAATTCATATCTTCGAGCCAACGTGTAACGTTCTTTTTATTATAAGGAGAAACCAATTCAACAAAAGCAAAAGGCGGGAATCGTGAAGTCATTGAACGATACGACACTCACAAAGGTGACATACGGAAAATACGCCACTTGGGTCCCGGATGAAGTGGCGTGTGGAATCTACGAGTGGTTTAGTTCCCAGTAAAACACTCTTCTCCATATAATAAGATCGAATATTTGTCCGTGGAAATTATCTGTTTCGAGAATTCGAAGCGAACAGTTTTCCCAGAGCGTCAGGGTAACTAAAATTCAAGTCTTTGTCGTGCGTCTTAATAGATTTTCACAGAATTCTTGTGTTGACTTCAACGTGAATAAGCAACCATCAAAAGTACGTAGGTGTTGCATTGGTCGACTAAGTAAGTAAGACGAAAAATCAAAGCCAAAGCTCTTTTCGTACGACTGAACATTAATATTGCGACTTCTCTGTAGGCGACACATCTCCATAAGCAAATATACCGTACAGAAACAGCACTTAAATAGATCTGTCCAAAGTATAACTTGATTTGATATAACTTAATATAAGCATGAATTTAAGCTAGTAATTATTGATTCTTCACTGCATAGTTTATTGTAAGTAAATGGATGTTAAGTAGATAATTACTAGATTTTAAATAATAGAGCTGGGTGAAATAAAAATAATAATATAATATATCATATAATGCGATGACTGATGCCACTTACATTCATATTATAATAATAGTAGTAAAACACTAATACCTGATTTTGCCAAATTGAATTAGATTAATTTAACTTTAGCATTCTTCGGCTTTCCATTGCAAAGATAGCGCTCACTTCAATTTTTGAATTTCAGTTTCAGAGCCCCAGGAACGGTATTTTAGGTATTCTAGCAGAACTTTTGCACTATTATAGATGCTGTCATTACAATACCTATATTCAAGTGAAAATAGACAAAAGCATGACAAAACGCTGACGCTGCCTCCGTGGAAGCTTCAATAAGGTAATATTTTGAGTGCCCCCCTTTAAACACCATATTTTTCAGCCAGCCCAGCCTTTTAAGCCATATTTTTTGGCATGCCCCCCCCCCC